GGAGCAGGCGGGGGAGGAGGCGACGCGGGTCTGGCCGAGGCGCTGCTGGTCCTCGCCGACCGAGAGGCGGTCTTGAGCTCGCTCGAGATACGCCCGAGATTGGCCGAGATTAGGCGCTGCTGTGCCTCGCGGCGCGGATGCCGGCGCTGCTCGATGTGGGGAGCGACTTGTGCCGCCCGCTGATGCAGCTGCTCGACTGGTACTTGCTGCACGACGCGGCGGGGCTGACTCTGCGGCCGGCTGCTCGGCCAGACGGGACACGACCGTGACACGTCCCGTGATGACACGCTTGCAGGCGGGACTGCTCTGCGGCCGGCTGCTCGCTCCTCGGGCGGGGATGCTCTCCGCGCTGCTCGAGGAGGCGAGCAGCTCTGCGACTCGGCCCGTCTCTGTGCTCGTCGGAGTTCTCGTTTCACCCGTGCTTCTTCTGTTTCGCACGACACAGGGCACGGGACTGGCGCGCACTGGCACGGACACGGGAAAGTCTTCTTTTCTAGGCGGTGCGCAGCTCGTGCGCCGACCGGAGAGGCACGATCGCCGTCGCCGGCGCGATGCACTCGCTGCTCGTGCTCGCCCCGGCGCACGCACCGCTGCTGGAGCGGCCGCTGGCGCTGGTGGCGCAGGCGGTGCTGCAGGGGCCGTGCGAGGGGCAGGGGGAAGGGTACTCCGAGCTCTCGCTCGCCACGTTCGGAGGCGTGGCCGGCCGGGCGCTCCTCGTCGCGCCGTCCACCTTCGAGGCGCGAATAGCGGCAGCTACACACACAACTCTTCTCAGTCTCGACGACGTGCGTCGCACTGTTGATTGCGACGACGCCCGCTGCAACTGTGATTGCTCTGTCCGAGGCGGCGCTCTCGTCGGCCGCTTCCGCACTCGGCGTCGCGGAGCCGCTGCCGGCCTTTTGCTTTGCGTGGCTCGCCGTATGCGACGGGATGCTGCTTTCGTCGCAGCGGCGGCTCGCCGCGCTCGCGCTCGCTGCGCTGTTGCCCCTCGACCCAAAGGCGTGCGCTGCCTCGATCTCCGCTCCTCTCGGCTCCTCTCGGCTCCTCTCGGCTCCTCTCGGCTCCTCTCGGCTCCTCTCGGCTCCTCTCGGCTCATCTCGGTGCATCTCGATCTCGACGCAAAGGCGCTCGGCTGCCTCGAGGAGGTCCTCTCCCTCTGCGTCTCCGCCCTTGCCGACGAAGAGCAGCCGCCTCCCTCGCCGGCTCGGTCGCCGCCGCCCGAGGCGGTTCGAGCCGCCTTCTCGCACGCGCTCGAGCCCTTCGACTCGCTCGCGGCGATGCCGCTCCGGCCGGCGTTGCAGCGCAGCCTCGGCGTGGCGCAGGAGGCGCACGGCGCAGCCTTTGGCGCGGCGATCGCACGGGTGGACCCCGCGCTGCTAGAGCAGGTGCGCGCCGCGTTTGGCACGGTTTGATTTTTGCGTGTACCGGGCAAGGTCAGGTCAACTTCTCCGGTGCCACACAAGGTGTAAGTGGGCACGCTCGGGACTGGAGCGCGCTGGCACTCTCGGCAAAAGAAGTAACAAAGAGACGTCTTTCACGACACGCTCCCGGCACCAACTTGATTCGTAGATCTCGGCGTCTCTCGACGGCCCCCCGGGCCGCGGGGGACGGGGAGGGAGGGGGGTCGATCCGTAAATCCGTAAATCCGTAAATTTGTGACCAAAAGCCACCAGGAGTCCCCCACCACACCCATCCACCAGGCAGATAGAGACACAGCGCTCGCGACACGCTGAGAAGCCGGAGGCTGGCCTCTCCAACGCTCGCGCACAACGCTGTGCTCTGCACGCGCAGCAGAGGCCAACAGCTCTGGGTAGGACGGCGACCGCCTCCACTGTGAACCACTTTTGATGCCTAATCTCAAAGTATAGCCAGGGGGGATACCCGTAGCCCCCAAAGTGAACTGCCTGATCGACTCCCCGGCACACGGCGGAGGAGGAGGAAGACAGCACAACCCCATCGCCAATCCTGTCGAGGTCGATCCACCGTCTCGCGCGTGAATCGGCCGCGACCTCCACCTCGAGGCGAGGGCCCACCCTTGTGTCGAGTGCCCCTCCAATAGCTCAGTAGAAGCGCGAAGTGTTCTACGGCCGCGACCATCACCATCGTAGGTCCTTGCACTGCGACTGCGCCACCGGCCAAGCTCCAGTGCGGTTGACCCCCATCCAGGAACTGCCCGACGATAGGGCTGTCGCCTCATCCATGCCGCTGACCGCGCCCAGCAGCGGGTGCTCGCCGCTGTCCACGGACGCGGCTCGTCAGGCGGCGCGGTGCCGCCGGCTGCGGCTGTCCCGGCCGTCGCGTCCTCGAGAGAGGCGAGCGAGCCGGCAGCAGAGCCCGTATGGCCCTCACCGCCACAGCCGCTCTGCCTGCTGACCTCGCTCTCGCCGCCGCCGCCTGCAGCGGCGCCTCCGCGGCTCCGAGAGGACCCGGCCCGCGGCCGCGCCTCGTCGAGCGCCTCGTCGACGCCCTCGGCGACGCCTCCTCGCGTCGCGTGCCCGTGAGCGGCGGCCGCCCCGCCGGCAGAGCTCGAGTGGCCCTCCACGCCACCCCGAGACTGCCCGGCGATGGTGCTTTCGTCGCCGCGCCTTGCCGTCGCTGCCTCGCAGCGGCTCTGTGCCTCGGCGCCGAGCCGAGACATGCCAGGCGGCCCGCCGCCGCCCACCGAGACGAGGCCCGCCCCCTCGTCGTGCACCGCGTCGCTCGCGCCTCCGCCAAAGCGATCTCGATCACGCCTTGCGGCGACGGCGCCATCGACGCCGACTTGAGCCGCTGCTCTCGCCCAGCAGCGGGTGCTCGCCGCTGTCCACGGACGCGGCTCGTCAGGCGGCGCGGTGCCGCCGGCTGCAGCGACGGCTGTCCCGGCCGTCGCGTCCTCGAGAGAGGCGAGCGAGCCGGCAGCAGAGCCCGCATGGCCCTCACCGCTACAGCCGCTCTGCCTGCTGACCTCGCTCTGGCCGCCGCCGCCTGCAGCGGCGCCTCCGCGGCTCCGAGAGGACCCGGCCCGCGGCCGCGCCTCGTCGAGCGCCTCGTCGACGCCCTCGGCGACGCCTCCTCGCGTCGCGTGCCCGTTCGTGGCGACCGCACCGCCGGCAGAGCTCGAGTGGCCCTCCACGCCACCCCGAGACTGCCCGTCGATGGTGCCTCCGTCGCCGCGCGTTGCCGCCGCTGCCTCGCAGCGGCTCTGCGCCTCGGCGCCGAGCCGAGACATGCCAGGCGGCCCGCCGCCGCCCACCGAGACGAGGCCCGCCCTCTCGTCGTGCACCGCGTCGCTCGCGCCTCCGCCAAAGCGATCTCGATCACGCCTTGCGGCGACGGCGCCATCGACGCCGACTTGAGCCGCTGCTCTCGCCCAGCAGCGGGTGCTCGCCGCTGTCCACAGGCGCGGCTTGTCAGGCGGCGCGGTGCCGCCGGCTGCAGCGACGGCTGTCCCGGCCGTCGCGTCCTCGAGAGAGGCGAGCGAGCCGGCAGCAGAGCCCGCATGGCCCTCACCGCCACAGCCGCTCTGCCTGCTGACCTCGCTCTCGCCGCCGCCGCCTGCAGCGGCGCCTCCGCGGCTCCGAGAGGACCCGGCCCGCGGCCGCGCCTCGTCGAGCGCCTCGTCGACGCCCTCGGCGACGCCTCCTCGCGTCGCGTGCCCGTGCGTGGCGACCGCACCGCCGGCAGAGCTCGAGTGGCCCTCCACGCCACCCCGAGACTGCCCGGCGATGGTGCCTCCGCCGCCGCGCGTTGCCGCCGCTGCCTCGCAGCGGCTCTGTGCCTCGGCGCCGAGCCGAGACATGCCAGGCGGCCCGCCGCCGCCCACCGAGACGAGGCCCGCCCCCTCGTCGTGCACCGCGTCGCTCGCGCCTCCGCCAAAGCGATCTCGATCACGCCTTGCGGCGACGGCGCCATCGACGCCGACTTGAGCCGCTGCTCTCGCCCAGCAGCGGGTGCTCGCCGCTGTCCACGGACGCGGCTTGTCAGGCGGCGCGGTGCCGCCGGCTGCAGCGACGGCTGTCCCGGCCGTCGCGTCCTCGAGAGAGGCGAGCGAGCCGGCAGCAGAGCCCGCATGGCCCTCACCGCCACAGCCGCTCTGCCTGCTGACCTCGCTCTCGCCGCCGCCGCCTGCAGCGGCGCCTCCGCGGCTCCGAGAGGACCCGGCCCGCGGCCGCGCCTCGTCGAGCGCCTCGTCGACGCCCTCGGCGACGCCTCCTCGCGTCGCGTGCCCGTGAGCGGCGGCCGCACCGCCGGCAGAGCTCGAGTGGCCCTCCACGCCACCCCGAGACTGCCCGGCGATGGTGCTTTCGCCGCCGTGCCTTGCCGCCGCTGCATCGCAGCGGCTCTGTGCCTCGGCGCCGCGCCGAGACATGCCAGGCGGCGTGATGCCGCCCCAGCAAATCCTGTCGTCCGCAGCGTCAAGACTAACTTGAGCAAGTATTGGCTCTGCCTCCACATCGCAGTCGCTCCAACCTCTGCCAGCTCCCTTGACGCTGCTCCGTGCTGTAGCGATCTCCTTGAGAGATCCGCTAAGCCCATGCGTTGCGGCCTCTTTACCGTCAGCGTGTTCCAGCCTACCAGAATCACGTATCGGAACCACTTCCCGACGACGAATATGGTTGACGCTCGAACACGTTGCTGTTGCTTCTGGAGGTGGCCTTCCACCCCCGTGCCAACCCCTTCCAACCCCAACAAAACACCGACAGACGAGAGAAGAGGCCACAAAACAGACAAGCAGAATGGCAAGAGAGAGACGCTCTGCAGGCGAGCCCACGGGCCTCTTGGGCCCTCGCGTCTCTCTCTCTCGATTCGTTACACCGATTCGACCCATCACATGTGGGAAGCCATTAACCTCCCTTGGCTTCCCACACAAACCCCCCTTCATGGGGGGAGCAGCAAATGAGGTAGTCTCTGCGAAATCACTGTCCCAGTGAATTCGCCCTAGACGCCTCCGTGTGGACTCGCAGCTCCGGCTGGATGTCGGCGACCTATAAAGCTCGGCGGTCGTCGCTTCGCGCCGGCCGACTCCCTGGTCCGGGCGGCCCAGGCTCACAGTGGGAGGTTCACGACCGCAAAGCTCCGTATGTGTTTCTTAACAATCACTATATTCGTGCTTGCCGAGCTGCGCCTCTGCGACTATCAACCCCTCACGCGTGTGCATAATCCCCTCCATCTTGTTGTGCAGCGCCTTGACCTCTCCGCCTCGCTGCGGCATCAGCGCGCCTCGCCTCTGCCTCCATCGAAATCTGCAGCGCGTCGAGCTGCTCGCGCAGCTCAGCCGGCATCTTGGCACGCATCTCGCCGATACGCCACTCAAAATCAGCTCGAGCTGCGTGTTTTACCTCGTCGGCCATCCGCTCGGCCGCTTTGATGTCGCGTTTAGCAGCCTGCTGCGCTGTCCTCAGGTTGTCGCGGTCGGAGCGCCTCAGCTCTTGTGCCGCAGCAAGCTCATCCCGCGCCGACGCGAGCGCCCTCTTCACAGCGCTCGCGCAGAGCGCTGCTCAGAAGCTCCTTAACCGTGACCGCAACTTCTCTTCCAACTCCTGCCGAAGCAGCATCTCAGCACTCGCGGCTGCACGGATGTCCGAGCCCCTTAGCGTGGTTTGCGTGTCTGTGCTGACGAGAGTGCGGGAGAAGCTGCCCTTGTGCTGCACAGAGATTACGCCAGCGGTAGCAGTGCTGCTTGGGGACACAACAACATTGCTCGTGGCTGAGCTGGCATAAGCCGCCGCACCAGCCTCTGCGGCTGCAGCGGTGCTTCGGATCGCGTCGAGCACCGCGCCTGTATCGTGCAAGAGCAAAGCCTCGAACGTACTGAGGTCGGCTATCCCGAGTTCGTTGAGCAGACCCTCCAGCACAATGCTGAGATCGTCCGTGCCATGTGTCGCGTGTCCAACCAAGGGAACGGACGTCGCCGAAAGTCCTCAGTCACGCCGTGACCCGTGTATCGCCTGCCGCAAGCTGGGGCGCACGCTCCGAGGCGGCTGGAGCCGCTTCACGCTCAATTTGGGCGCTTTTTACGCGATTTTACGGAGTTACGGATTGGAGGGGGGTGGCGGTCCATAGGGGGAGGGGGAGACGCCGATCTACGAATCAAGTTGGTGCCGGCTCGACAGTAGACGTCGGCAAGAAAGAGCGAGACGCCTCGAGCGACCGAGACACAGGACGCAAAGCCCCACGAGCGCACAGGGCGCAACTATCGGCCCGCTAGGCCGAGCTCGCCGAGCACGGGCGCAAAGTCGTCGGCGAGCAGCAGCATCAGCTGCTCCTTGCTCTTCTTGCCGGGCAGCCCCACCAGCCGCAGCGCCTGCTCTCGCTTTGCCCGCTCGAGCAGGTTGCGCACTGCCCGGCCGTTGCCACACTCGCGGTCGCGCACCGCGACCATCGCGCGGAATATGCTGCCGAGGCTGGCACGCGCCTCTAGCGCGATCACGAGCTGCTCGTCGGCGAGCTGCGCGTCGGTGATCGCCATGAGCTCTTCGGCGGTGTAGTCGGGGAAGCTGATCGTCGTGGCGAAGCGCGAGCGGATCCCGGGATTAGAGGCGGCCAGCCGCTTCATCTCGTCGGGGTACCTGCTCACAGGCAGGCGGGTGTGAAGAGGCGCGCTTCACCCCTTTGAGACCGCGTCTGCTTGCACCCCGCGAGCACCACCACCAGGTCGTCACGAAAGTCCTCGGTGCACTTGATGAGCGTGTCGAGCGCCTCGCGGCCAAAGTGGTCGCGCTCGTCGGTGACGATCGCGTACGCCTCGTCCACAAAGAGCATCCCGCCCAACGCCGACTCGACAAGCTGGCGCGTCTTGATCGCTGTCTGGCCGGCATACCCAGCAACGAGCGCCGATCGGTCCACCTCGACTAGATGCCCCAACCGGAGAAGCCCCATCGCCTTGTAGATTGCGGCGACGATTCGCGCGACGGAAGTCTTGCCGGTGCCCGGGTTGCCGACAAACATCATGTGGAGCGACGTGTCGGCCGCCGCCTTCATCCCGGCCTCGCGCCTCTCGGCGTTGAGCTGCATCTGAGCGGCAAGCTGCCGCACAAACGTCTTCACCGAGCCGAGCCCGACGATCGCGTCGAGTTGCCGGAATGCGGCGGCGAGATTCTCCTCCGACTTTGCGCCCGAGGGTGGCGACTCAAAGTCGGCCTCGGTCAGCGTGGTCAGCGCGCCGTGCGCCACGGTGCCCGCGTCCTGCAGCACGCCAAACATGCGGTCCGTCTGCCGCGCGATGGCACGCTCGACAAGGTTGCGCACGAGCCGGCCGTTGCCCTTTGGCACCTCGGCCGGCTTGATGGTGCGCGCCACCAGCTGCGTGAGGCTGTCGCCCTCGAGTAGCGATTCCTGTGGGAGGTGAGATGGACGGGTCATGGACGCGCCGTGGACGCGTCATCCCGGTCGCCCTCTAAGCGGCTCCTCGAGGGAGAAGCCCTTGACGGCGGTCAGTTCGGCGAGGATGCGCGCGAGCTCGTCAACCGAGTAGTCTGCGAAGGCAAAGACGTTGGGGAAGCGCGAGGCGAGGCCAGAGTTGGAGGATAGGAATGCGGCCATCTCTTTGCCGTAGCCGGCCAGGATGATGACCACCTGCGCCGCGAAGGGATGTGGGGCGGGGTGTCATTCCTCACCGCCGCTTCAAGACCTCGCTCGAGCCCTTCCCACACCTCCCCAGCGTGGTCTTCGCTCTCCTTGACCAAGGTGTTGACGCACTCCTGCCCCGCAGAATCGCTCGAGCCGTCGTGCCGCAGTGCATACGCCTGGATCAAATGTTGGCCGGGTGAGTTAAATGTGCTGCATCGCAGCTGGCGGTGCGGCCGCGCACCTCGTCAATGAAGAGCACGCCGCCCAGCGCGCGCTTGACGGCGTCCGAGGTGAGCTGCGCCGTCTCGCCATGGTGCGCGCCGATCAGGTCCTTGCGCGTCACCTCAATCAGCTGGCCCTTTTTGAGTACGCCTGCGTGGCGGTCACGGCAACGCTGACACCGTGCACACACCGCCTTTCGCCCTCCCTCTTCTCGAGGCCACCGAGCGACTTGAAGAGCCGCGCCACGAGCCGCGCCACAGTCGTCTTGCCCGTGCCGGGATTGCCGAGGAAGAGCATGTGCAGCGTGCGCGCGTCCTTGACGCCGAGCAGCGAGCGGCGCCGCTGCACCACCGCCGCGTTCTGCAACGAGCGCAGCATCTCCTTGACCGCCTCGAGTCCGATCACCCGCTCCAACTCAGCCTCCAGGTCAAAACTGGCCTGCTCCACCGCCTCGGCCGCCTCATCCTCGGCCGCCACCGCCGACGGGTCTCGCGCCTTTGGGCCGCCCCGCTCCAGCAGGGGCGCGAGGTGCGGTGGCAGGGGCCGCCCGCCCGCGGCCTGTGCCTGCTCCCCCGTGCCGCCGTCGGCCCCCAGAGCTAGGAACTCTGCATCGTCAATCGGAATGTACAGGCCGTGGCCGGGAGTGCACCGGAAGTACCGCTCGCCACGGTACTTGCCGTCGCAGTCGGTGGTCGTCCGCTTCGTGTCTAGCCGAAGCCCCGCCACCTCCCGGCCGCGAGCAAAGTCGGCAGGCCCGAGGTAGAGACATATGCCTGTGCGTCCCGAGTGGCGGTCGCGGATACGGTCGCCCACGTGGACCGCGCGCTGGAAGCGCGGGAGTGTCGCCGACAGAGTCTCCTGCACGTAGCCGTCGTTGGTCGGTGCCAGCCGAGCAGCGGCAGCTGCACCCTCGGGCACGCCTGCATGCGGATGGGCTGGCCCCGCAGGCTTGGGAGGCGCGGCGTTGTTGTCCGTGGCAAACTCGTTGTTCCAAGGCGGTCTGGGCTTGCGTGCAGCTGCTGCTCCGGGCGCGCGCGCGGCCAGTGCGCCCGCCGGTCGCGGCACGCCTCGCGAGCCGGTCGTGGGCATGAATGTGACGCGTTTGCGATTCGACGTCGTGTCTGTTTCACGAGGGCTGCCCTGGACCGATTTACGCCCCGGCGGGGATGGATTTGCGGGTTTCCCCGTGCCGCGAGACTTGGGCATGTATCTCCCGCGATGTGTCGCGGACAAACCCAAGTAGACGCCCCTTGGGCGGGATCGCGTCTTACTTACACAAGAGGAACTATAACACATCGCTAGTCATGTACAATCATGAGAACTGGGTCCAGGCTCCATAGTGAGGTGGTCTCCCAGTCTAGCGCACCTCGCGCCCGGCGGGCGGCGACCTGTCCGTCCACCGACCCCTCCGCCCGCGCGTGCCAACGCCGCCTCCACCGCCGAGTCGAAGAGCCGATGTAGACCCGTCGTCCGTCCACCGTGTGGTACGCCGCGAAGCGGCCCGACGCCCAGGGAAGTCGGCAGCCGCGCGAGCCCGACGCCTGCTCCTGCTTGCGCACGCCTGCGTAGCCGGTGCTGCTGCGACTCGAGAGGTGCAGCCGCCAGCCCTGCGCCTCTGTCACCACCGCCGGCGCCTCCCCCGCGGGGCCCATGTGGGATGGACCTGCGAAAGCGCGGGGAAGGGAGAGTGCATTCAGAAGGCAGAACCTGAGCACAAGTGGGGGGCTTGCTCGCGAGCCTTGACTTGCATCGACTTGATTACAACGCGGAGCCATCGCGGGTAGCCAGAGGCGGCGGACCGAGCAGCATGGGCGGCGTGTCATTCTGCAGTCGATCGCCGCCGAGCGGCATAGCGGCGCCGTCGCGGGTAACCAAAGGCGGCGGGTCGGCGGGAGAGGGCGGTGGTGCGGGCGGTGATGCTGATGATGTGGCCATTGGCCGCCGCCGCGTCCTCTTTGCGAGCGCTCTCGACTTCCGTCCCTTTTTACGCTTGTCCCCCCCCTTGCTCGTGTGTCTGACTTTTCGCCGGGTCAGGCCACTTGCTGTCGGCCGTCTACTTGGGTTTGTTCTCTGCATGTCCGAGTACTGAGAACCCTACCGTGGGTTGCGGGCATTAAGAAAACGGCCCTCTAAGAAACCCTACCAAGCGATTTCCGCGAAAATCTAAGAAACCACGGCGAGCCGCAGGCGCGGCCCCGAGAGTGCATCTCGCACCCCCCCCCGCTCCCCATCGGTGACTCGCGAAGGACACGGACACTCGGGGTGAGGGGGGGTCCCCCCGGAGGGGGCTCTGGGGCATTGTTGGGTTGATCGCTCGTGCCGATCTCGGGTCGATCTCGGGTCGATCTCGGGTCGATCTCGAGTCGATCTCGGGTCGATCTCGGGTCGATCTCGGGTCGATCTCGGGTCGATCTCGGGTCTCGGGTCGGTCTTGGGTCGGTCTCGGAGTGGTCTAGAAAAGAAAAAAATGTGGGGCGAGATGAGGCGAGATGAGGCGAGGTGAGGCGAGGTGAGGGGCGATGAGGCGAGATGAGGCGAGATGAGGCGAGGTGAGGCGAGATGAGGCGAGATGAGGCGAGATGAGGCGAGGTGAGGCGAGATGAGGCGAGACAATGAGGCGAGTGGCGAGATGAGGCGAGATGAGGCGAGATGAGGCGAGATGAGGCGAGATGAGGCGAGGTGAGGCGAGATGAGGCGAGATGAGGCGAGGTGTACCTCGGCGAGATGAGGCGAGATGAGGCGAGCGGGTGAGGCGAGATGAGGCGAGGTGTGAGGCGAGATGAGGCGAGGTGAGGCGAGATGAAGCGAGGTGAGGCGAGATGAAGCGAGGTGAGGCGAGATGAGGCGAGATGAGGCGAGACTAGGAGGCGAGATGAAGCGGGATGTTGTGTGGCTGCTTGTGCTGCCAAGCAGGCAGCACAAGCAGCCATACAAGTGAGCTTTGGGATTGTGTGGCTGCTTGTGCTGCCTGCTCATGAGCAAAGCGCGAGCGGCGAGACTGGCATATCTGCCCCTGCGGGCAAGACCGCTGCCGCATCGACCTCACACCTGCCGCTGCCCGCAAGGGACGGCCCGATGGCTGAGGACGACGTGCCGGGGCGGGTGGAGGCCGCCCTGGCGCTCACTTCCCTCTTCGCCGCCCCTGCGGGCCTCTCCTCCGTCGGCAGCGCCACCGCCTCCTCCTCGGCCTCCTCCTCCCGGTCCGCCTCGCCTCCGACGGTGCCGCCCTCCGCCCTGCCCTCCCCCGGCATCGAGCTTGGCCGCGGGGGCTTCGCCGGCGGGTTCGCGCGCGCTGTGGCATCCACGGGCCCGGGCTCGCCCACCTCTGCCGCCGCTGTCGCCGCCGCCGCCGCGGCTGCAACTGCAAAAGCCGCCGCAGCCGCGACTGCAGCCACCACCACCATGGATGGGTACAAACCAGAGCCGGGATCGGCGCGGGCGCGGGCCCTGCTCGTCTCCGGTTCGACCGCGGCGCTCGCCCTCAAGATGGTCCCAGGTGCCCCCACTTCGCCGCCGGGCCGTTTCACGCCCCATTTCCTCACGCCCCCCCCTCCCACAACGCCCGGCAGCGCCGCCGCCGACCCCCGCCCCCGCCCCCCCCGCTCCAGCATGCCCCCGCGCACTTCTCCTCTACTGACGCCGACCCTCTGCCCCCCGTCCAATTGCAGCCGCCACCCGGAAGCGCGGCCGGCCGGCCGCCACCGCGCCACCCGCCGCCGGGAACGCGGAGCCAAAGGGCAAGCGGCTCGGAAACACTCCCGGTTGCTTCGACTACTGCGCTCGATCGGCGAGCATCCGCCTGGACCCCCCCCCCCCCTCCCGCGCGCGCGTCCCGCGATGGCGCTCGCTCTCTGACCAAACGCCGCCCCACGTGTGCGACTAGGGCTACTGCTCTCGCTGCTCGGGGCGCGAGGTGGTCGCTGCCGCCACCAACAAAGGCGCGGCCCCTTCCGTGCAGCCTGTCTTCACGTGTGCCACCACTATCTATCCCTGACTACGTCGCTGCGCACGCGCAGGCGCTCTCCTCCGGAAGGCGCTGCTTCCTGTCGCCGCATCCTCCTCGCTGCACCCGATGGCCGGCGCGTCCCCAGGGGTGGCCTACCGCTCTGCTTGCGTCCCTACGTCCCTCGACCCGGCCCAGCCGCTGACCGCCATGGTGGTGTCGCCGATCGCGCTCCGCTCGCACGCGCCGGGCACGAGCGGTGTCGACCGGTTGATGATGGAGCAGATGCGGCCGCCGCCAGCCGGGTGGCAGCCGGCGGTGGAGCCGCCGCAGCCGCAGCCGGGTCGGGCCAACTGGAGCGGGCCTGCGCTCCAAATGTCACCCGCGCAGGCTGAGGAGGCGGGTGCCATTGCCCGTCGGCTCTCCCTCGACTTGAATATGGGCTGGCAGCGCGTGCAGAACGCCTCGGCGCAGAGCACGATGATGCAGTGCTACAGTGCATGGCGCGCAGCGCACCCTCTGCCCCTCGCCAGCGTCCGCCTCCCTGACGCCCCACTGCAACCCTCTCGCCGCAGGTCCACCATCTTGAGGCACATCCCTGTGGTGCCCGGGCGCTGCCCGTGGCTGCCTCCGCGCGACCTCCTCCTGGCTGCGACCGAGCACGGTCCGCAGCATCCGCCACCCACTTGCGCTGCCGCCGTCTCCACCGCGCCCCCGTGTCGCCTGCAGGCTTGCACCATGCAACCGCCGTCACGCTGCGCCAAGAGTTCACGGTCTGCTGCACGGAGCGGGCGCTCGGCGGCGGGCGCGCGCAGTGCGCCGCCTTTGTCAATAAGCTGCGCGCGATCGGTCCGTGTGGGCCACTGCCCCCCCCCTCCCCCGCTCTCCAGTGCGCAACCCCCAGGCCTGCGTGACGTAGGCGCCTCGTTCATGGAGTCGGTCGAGCGCAGCCTCGTCCATCCTATGGGGCCGCCGCCCTCGCCCCGCCAAGCGCCGCCCGGTGGCGCTCCATGGAGCGCCACCCTCAACATGCACTTGCCCTTCCCGCCGGCGCCGGCGCCGGTGCCGGTGCCGGCGGTGGTGGCGCACCGGCCGCCACGCGTCGAAGAGCAGCGGCCAGTGGCGACCACGGTGGCGCGGCCGACAGGTGCGGCGCGGCAGGCCGAGTGCCGCAGCTGAGTCTCGGCGGCAAGAGGTTCGCCCCTCCTATATCTCCCTCCGCTTCAAGAGCCCGGCGCCCACGCTCGATCTTTCGGCGCTGGTAAGTCTTCCAAAGGTGGGCGTGGTCCAACCATTAAGCACACGAGCATACGATGTTACGAGGTCCTAGTGTGGGTTCGGGACGCATATGCATAGAGGGTGTGGAGGGTGAGTTGAGAAGATCGAGGGACGCGACCCACTTCGCCACAGACGGTCCCTCCTCGCCACATAGATTAGAGGGGCACACACGCCCCGCACCCGCGGTCCGCTCGGTCCTCGGTCGGTCGGCCCGCGCGCGTCTTTGTCCGGAGTGAAAAGTCCAACGCGCGCTCGTCGTCGGCGTCTTCCCTCAACCTGCGCCGCGCTCGGCGAACTTCGACAGCGCCTTCGGTGGCATGCAGCTCTTTGCACCTGAAGCCTGGAGAGCGGCTCCCCTGCTGCTCACACACTCTGCACAGCTGATACAGCCTACTGTGTGCGGCTGCCACAGCTGTGACAGCGATGGGCTCGCCCTCACTGGCCCTCAGTCACTTGTGCTGCGGCGTGTGTGAGCGACACTGCTCGGCGACTGCCGGCACACTGTGAGACCATGGGTGTGAGGTTAAACCACGCCCGGGGGCTACCAGAGCGCTTGGTCACATCGGCCCCGAGGTTAGACCTCCCTAGTAAGATCCTTCTACTCTGTTCTCTCGAGGTTGTCGAGGGGGATATCCTTTGGCCGCGTTGGGTAGCGAGGACTGGTGTGACGCGAGATCCACGCAGGCGTGTTTTCCGACGGCCGACCGTCAGTGCACGGAGTTGCCCCTTCCCCGACTGCCCAGGCTAGTTCCCGAGGTCGTTCGTCGGGTGTGACCCCTGCCTGCGTCCCCCGAGACCTAGCGCGGGTGGGCTGGAGGGGGCTCGCTGCGAGGAAGGGCTGTGTAAGAAGCCGATCCCCGTAGTCCGCCCCACTCCTCCCCATCGGGCCGCATAAGCGGCCGCGCCTCGCAGATTCGTTTCTCGCGCCTGGGTCAGGCGCGCGGGGCATCCCCCGGGTCGCTCGACCAGCGATCCGAAGAGTAGCCGCTATGCGAGGGAAAGAGCGGGGCCCTCGACGTCTCAGTCCGGCCCTCCGAGAGGGGGGAAGGGAATTACGGGGTCCACCCCATGGGCGCCTCAGTTCGGCCCTCCAGGCGGCGCTGGAGGAGGCCAACGTACGAAGGCGGCGCTGTGCGGAGCCAAGGCGGCGCGTGAGCGAAGCGAGACGGCGCTCGAGGAGGCGGCGGCCGCTGCAGACGCGAGGGGTGCTGCTGCGGCCGCTTCGAGGGCCAGGGCGGCCGCTGCCAGGATGGCGGCGGAGGCAGCACAACGATGACTGTTAATTTGCCGTCCACGGACGTCCTTCAAAGCGGCTCCCCCCCACCAAAGTTGAACCGTCTCAATACACAATAGTTACATACATACCTTACGTGTCTGTGTGTGCTCTCTAAAGCCGTATCGCGCACCGTAAAGTACACGTAGTCTGAACGGCTTTTTCTCCTCCCACATGTACATGTGCTTGAGTGTTTGTTTCAGGTGCATCTCGTTTTGCTAGAGGCCGGGACAGAGGACAGAGTGATCCGTGCCGCGCGCGCTCCCCCCCCCCCCCCCCCTCGGCCTCGCTCCCCCCAGCCCCCGCACCGCGGCACGCGCTGCCAGCTGTTCGCTTCGGTGTTCGGAGGCGAGGGCGGCTCTGGTCGTTATCTGAGACAGAACCGCATATAAAAGCTAGCAACAAACCTGCAGACGCATGTGAGACATGTGCCGAATTCCCCCCCCGTCGTGCTGCACTGCGGTGATCTTGGCGTGTTGCTCCGGCGCGCGCCCGTCGAGCAAGTCTAGTCCCTGCTCGTCGCGAGGGAGTGCATGCAATCGCGCACGATCCTATCAGCGAGCAACCGTGCCTCGTCCAACGGCTCCTCCCGTGCAGCGGCTCAAGCCGCGCACGAGACCTGAGGTTCTCGAGCCCCGCCGCCTCGAGCGCCGGCCGCACGCGGCGTGCAAACGGACCCTTCCACTCGTTCCGCTTCCAGTCGTCGATCGGGAGCCAGCCGAGCGGCGAGCCGCCGCCGCCGCCGCCGCCCGCCGCGTTGAGGACGAGCACGCGCGAGGCGGGTGGGGTCGCCTGTTCACAGCGGGCGTGCTGTGAAGAGACGCGGCAGGCAACTCGGGCGGTCGGGGGGGCGAAGGCGTGTGTCTTCTCGCCCCGTCCGACATGGTGATGAGCGCCCCGGCGGCCGACTCGGGCGCCACGCGGAGCGAGGCGGCGGCGATGTGGGACACCTGTTCATTGACGGCCTACTCACTGATGAATCCTCCCTTCACGGCCGTGAATACGGCGGCGGATGTGCGGCACGTCCGCGGGCGGGATGGAGGGGGCGACGGCGCGGTAGTCGATCTCGTACAGAAAGTCGACCCCGCTGCACCACGGCTCCTTGAAGTGCGGCATGGGGAGCCAGACGCGCTGCTTGTCCGGCCCGCACCCGACCTCGATCGCCCTCAGGTGACGCGGCTCGATAGCTCGCTCCGCCCAGCGCGCATCCTTTGGCAGCGGCGGCATGACGACGCGCCGGCCGAGAAGCAGGCCGAGCAGCAGCAGCCGCGCTGCAAACGCGTCGAAGTCGGACATTGAGGCGAGGCCCGCCCGCAGCATGTCTGGCCCGGCCTACAAGAGGCATGGCGAGATCTGGGGAGATCTGGGGAGGGAGGCCCGGCCGCAGCAGGTCTTGGCATCGCCACGAGCAGTCGCTCTGTCCGCGGCGACACCCACGTCTCGGGCGCCACCTTAGGGGGGGGGGGGGGGGGTAGGGGGAGATCGGGGGAGGTGTGGGGAGGTGTGGGGGAGGTGTGGGGAGGTGTGGGGAGGTGTGGGGGAGGTGTGGGGGAGGTGTGGGGAGGTGTGGGGGAGGTGTGGGGAGGTGTGGGGAGGTGTGGGGAGGTTTGGGGAGGTGTGGGGAGGTTTGGGGAGGTGTTGGGGAGGTGTGGGGAGGTGTGGGGGAAGTGTGGGGAGGTGTGGGGAGGTTTGGGGGATGTGTGGGGAGGTGTGGGGAGTTGTCGGGAGGTTTGGGGAGGTGTGGTGAGTTGTTGG